CAAATTCGGTCACACATGACGGGATGTGTTAGAGGAAATAAATAATTAAGTTACACCCTCTCTAACAACTTAAGTTTTTAGAGTAGATGGTGGTTGACAACACACACCTGCTCGCTCGCGTGCGCACATTGACACACACTCTTTTCCACTTGTTTTTTGTCCTATTTTATTTTTAAAACCCAGTGTCATTTTTATTTTACCTTTTCCTGAAGTAATAAAAATAATGATTGATGATCCTAATATCTAAACAAGTACCTAGTGATGTTTGTTTCATGAAAAACCGCATTTGTATGGACTTAATTTCTTTTTCATTCACTTCTATACGTTGTTTTTTATGAACGGTGGCTTCTATACATTGTTGGTATAGTGGATTAGTTGCTTCATTTTCTAGTTACTTGTGGTTTTCTATTGGACAAACAAAATTTTTTCATATACTGTCTGGAAAAAAGGGTTCATCCCATTTATCAGTAGATATGATCTATTTCAATAAATTTGCATTGATATGAAGATATTGATTATTGTATCCAATTGGTCAAATGATGTGATATTTAATATTCTGTATGAACTAAAAAATTCATTACTCATAATAGTGTGTTGACGGTCTCCTTTAGGGTTGTTTTATAACTGATAACTCTTTTCTTTCATGAACGACATACTTTTAGGTGTGACCACAATTGCTGGAGGTCCTTCACAAGAAGGCCATGTTGATGGACCTGGACAGAATGCATCATTCTCAACTGATTTTGAGCTGGCTTTCTTTCCTGAAAGATGTGCTTTACTGATCTCTGATCATGGAAATCAATTGGTCCGCCAGATTAATCTGAGGCAGGAGGATTGTGCAAGAGGTTCTCGATTTGGTAAGCTATTTGGAACTTATTATATGTTATATATTCTAAATGCATTTATCATATTTATTTTATTGAGGATGATAAATGTGAGGCTCTTTAATCACTTTATATTACATCTTAATGAAACCTGCCTGCGAACAGCCGTTGACCCATCTTGTAGGAGTGTAGTGGTTTGAAGGTTCAGTGTCTGGTTATAGGTTACAGATTTCAATTTAACTTTAAAACTGTTCCTACAGATCGAGAACATAAAGATGTAGATGGTCAATGTTCATTAGATGCTTAATCTTTGTTCCCAAGTTTTTGAAGGTGTGGCTATTAGCTTTACATAATGTTAGGCATGTAACATATCAAATCCTTCACGACTTGAAGAAAAAGAGTCACGTGTAAGCATATTCCGTTAGCAAACGTTGTGTTGTGGTCTATATATTATATGTGCTGTCACTTCAGTGAAAGATTCTCATCGACATTGAGGCTGTGATTGTAGATTGAAGACGGATCTGAAGATTGTATCTACATCTTATTTTAAGTTTAATCAGTTCCACAATATAAAGAATGGGAGTACAATATAAAGGAGGTGAGTTACCTAAGGGACCATAGGATTCATAGTGACTAATTAATGCTTAAGTTGATTTATAAGACTTTACTTGGTTATGAAAATTTGACTAAAATGACGTAGAATAATTAGGAAACTTGAATTAGTTTGGAGTGTATAAAACTAATTATTAATTAGAAGTTTAAAATTGAATATTATTCCACTAGAAATGAATTTCTAAACTTTAATGTTGGTTAGAAAGCTTAGTTTTTGAGATTTAGTTGAAAATCGATTTAAAGGTTGATTTTGATAAGGATTTGAAGTCATGAAAACTAATCTGTCTTTTTTGAATTAAGTTCCCTCACTTTTTATAGAAAATCATTAAAACTAAAATACTTGGAATCTTGTGATGAGTTCTATATATGCAAAAACTAGACTTGATAAGCTTTCCAGTGATATATTTTATGCCTAATTTCGAGTCAGTGTGACCTCTTAACGAAGTGCTCGAAGTCAGGTTTTGCACAGTTTGTTTCTGCAGAAAAGTTCGATAGATCAAATTTTAGTTTGATCAATCAAAATTATTCTAGAATAGCTTGAATACTTTGATCGATCGAACGGATGTCCAGTGTGGGTAAAATACGTGTTTTCATGTCCGGAAATGTTTCTCAACTTTCAAAATTCATCCAAAAAATTCCCGATCACTCCAACAATATAAAAAATGGATGTTCTAGGGTTCGGAAAACATAAGAAAACTACACCATTGTGAGTGAGAATGAGAGCTTTATTTTTCAATCACAAATGAGGTTCCTCATAGAATAGCCTGTTATATTGTGTGATTGAGTTCTAAAGTAAAAAGCTTCATTGAAGCACAACTTCTACACATCAAACAAAAGCTTGGACGACTAGCCACGGAGATCGATGTGCTTGAGGAGAAGCAGATTGCGTGAGGAGCAGGCGGCCTAAAAACTCGAGTGGAGAGTTTGGCATCAGTTTGTGTCAGGAGTTAACTAGGAGTTTTCTAAGATTTGGAAAACTAGTAACCTGGTTGTAAAATTATTTTCTCATAGCGGATTTAATATGTTTGGATTTGGTCCCGCAATTTTTTCTTATTGGAGTTTTTCATGTAAATCTTTGTGTCTGATTTACTTTGCTTTATTGCTTGGTGGTTTGGGTTGTTCGATTTACATCAACATGATTAATTGTTTGTTTTAAATTGATTGAAATTGAGATTATGTAAAAAATATCAAGATTAATTATTTGGTTTAAATTGATTAAAATTGAAATTATGTAAAAATTATCAGTGTGTGCAAAAGAACTATTCATTCCCCCTCTAGGTGTAATCAGGCCTTGTGCATACTCTCACATCAATCCTCAGATTCCTCATGTCCATTACTCATTATTGTTGACTGAGTTTCTATGTAAATAATTATATACCTGTAGGTTTGTTTTTGTTGTGGCCTTACCATAGTTGTGTTCTTATTCTTTTCATTATGATTATACTTTTCACTTTGTTCTTATTATCTTTCCCTCCAATTTATTGGTTTGTTGTTTTAGTTTTTCTTTTCTTCTGAGCTTTAGAAAAAATTTGTGCTAATTAGGATATCTAGATTTTTACTGAGGAAATGTTGGAATTTCTCCTGGCTTGCGGCAGAGGATTTACTCTTAATTCTATAATATACTATCTTTTTGGGATCTCAAGTTTTATTCTGAGTCTTAAGGAGAATTAACACATGCTTTATATCTTTTCCAGCACTTGGATCGACCTTGTATCGGATTCTGATTTCAGGAGTATCTTGTTTACTTGGCTTGTTCATTGGGTTTGCAGCTCGTCCTTATATAATCACTCATGTAAGTGTCTCCTCTACCTGTATGATAATATGCGACAAAACTGGATTACTTACTCATGTCTACCCAAACTTTATAGACAGGAAGGCTTCAGACTCTCCCTCAGCGAGACATGGAAGCATTCCCGAATCAGTCTGGGGAGGCAAATATGGGTGCTCTGCTTCGACTGGAAGCATTACCGAATCAGTCTGGGGAGGCAAATACAGATGCTCTGCTTCGACATACGAAGCGCAATTGTTAGCTCAACGCTCACGACACTTGTAAGGAGGCTCGTTATGTTGAGCTTATCTTACCTCTTTCTTGTGTATGGTATCAGCACAATAGAATCCAAAACTTTGCGTGAGAAACCTGTATCTTTGCTAGACAATGATGTGTTAAGTAGCAGTGAGATAACAAAATCGCAGATGTTCGATGACCAATTAAAGGATTTGATAAGTTTGGATGGAGGCCTGGAAACGTCAGAATCTACCGACAGAACCATTGAGCGAGGAGATAATTTATTTTCTGACAGTCATCAAAGGATAGATAATATGATACAAGCCAACATTATGGGATTTGCAGAGCAGGCTACAAGAATTTCACCGGAGTTATCTTTGATGAGCAGTTCAAGGTTTGTTAAAAGGAGACAGAAAGTATTTTAACAGAGGCCCTTTCCATGAAGCGTTTTATTTTCTACTACTCTAGTAAGTGCTGTGAAATGTGAATGTTTGAATAGTGTGTTAAATGAAGCTAAGGTTTATGAGTGAACTCGTCTGTCTGCTCAAACACTAGATTGAACCAATTTGGCACATACGGAAATAAGATACATTGGATATGCGCAATCATCTGCAAATCACACATTATTTGGAGTGTTTTTTTGCGTGCAGCAAAAGTCATACTTAGGACGTCCTAGTTTACGGCTCTTGAGACTCCTTAACCATTAGGCCGGGTTTGCTGGGGATGATATTTGCTAATGCAAGTTGTTGGCCATGAGGTATCATCAATTGGAACTCAGTCTGCCCCAATCTGAAAATTTCTTAAATTCAACTCAATTGACTGTAAGAACAAGTGGAGTTACCATTCAAAGGGTAAGAATGATTTTGTTGTCATTCATTCTAATGCATCCAAAGTAAATTAGAAAATAATAACTTCAGTTTATCAATGGATCCCGGTGTGGTATGAGTCTCTCTAATGTTTTTTCTTACCTGAATTTACAATAATTTCGTTGTGACTAGACCTACTTACTCATGTCCGGAGGCTTGACATGACACTGAATCAAAGACTCCACTTTATTTATAGCCGTGACCCACTTGACAAATTTCGCTTTAAAATATAGCACTTGTCCTATGCGCACCTACCTATTTATGGTCTATTCTGTTCACATCACGTGGGATGAGCTAACAAGGTAGCACTAAGCCTTTTAACCAAAAAAAAAAAAAAGAAAAAGAAAAAAGAAGGTAGCACTAGGCCTTGTGGTCCATGGGTTGTGTTAAAAAGCAAAAAAGGATAGATAAAAGGGCATCTTTGTGGAACCATATATGACAAGGGTTGTGTGTTTGCACTTACACATGAATTGCGATCTTGGATCAATAGATTAAATTATTTGATTTAACACTACCTTGTTGACTGAACATTTATTCTTCTAAAAAAAAAATTTGAAAAGATTCCTGACATTCTTGATCCCACTGTATTATTATAGAACCAAAAATTGGTAATATGTGCAATTTGCCAATTAATTAGCCCATAATGCTGTTAGATTCAGCACATGCCAGACCATGAATCAGGAAAACAAAAAATAAAAGTAATAAGTAATAATTAATAATAAAAAAAGAACACATGCTAGGTACATTGACTACTGTTTCAAGTACAATAATACCAGCAAGATCTTGTCTGTTTCTCAAGTTTGATAGCCAAGAATACACATTACTGCAACTTTTCTTGAAGCATAGGCCAGCAAGTGACTAAACAATACTTGGTACCAAAGCTGCTTCCCACAAACACTCCTTACTCCAAAATAATATTTTGACACCTACCATGATCTAAATTTTCATGGAAATATCAAGAAGGAATGAGGTTGATGGAACAAAATTACTTTTAGGTAGATTATCAATGTCCTTAACTACAAGCCAGAATTGGTCCGGGAGCGGATGTTCTGACGAAGACTATAAGGAGGATTACCATGATCCAAGGGCTTGATTACCACAGTTTCACGTCGCCCTTCCTGCTCTTGAACTGCCCCAAACACAATCTCATTGGTTTTCTCGGAGCATTGCTCATAGTAAGTTTGTGGGGCGGATGAGTAGTGTCGATGGTGATGCTGCTGCTGCTGAAAGTCAACGTCCCATCCACTATGGTGCTGCTGCTGTTTCTGCACTTGCTGCTGCTGAAAGTCTTGATCCCATCCGTTATAGAGAGTACGGCTTTGCCAGAGGTGTTGCATTTTTCCAGCATCCTTTGACATGAATGCATAGGTTTTCTGAGGGGTAGGGGTCCTTGCTTCGATGTAAGGAGGCTCATCTTCATGTGGTATCACAAAACTCTCTTGCATTGGCCAATCATTTGTATTCTGCTGTTGCTGGTACTGCTGTTCGTGCTGATATTGATAGTTCAATGGCTTCTTCCTAAATCCAAAGATTTCTGCCGCTGATGCCCTAGTATTGACAAGAAGCTTCCCAATAGATCCAAAGAAGCCTTCTTCTTGCTTTTCTGGTTCTTCTTCAGTGGGGAATAATGGAGGCCTAACCAAAGATTTCAGAGGCTCCTGATATGGACTTGGTGGCATGCTTGTTTTCATTGTTTTCTTGTCCTAAAAGAGCAAAAAAAAAAAAAAAAATATTTAAGGGAAAAAATAAGTTTCATGCTGCTCAAAAGATACTAGAAACATATTATAATCTTTTATGGTTCAGAAGGAAATGAAGGCCGCGCTTGTAACTCCAGAAAAGTTATCCGAAATATCCTTGATATGAAGCTGCTATACTCACCGAGTTAATGCATGATATGAAATGAATAGCAGAGTGTAGCTAACTTATGTTCTAGAAAGTAAGTTCTCCCCGAAACAAATGTTTTGTGGTCCTTCAGATCAGAGAATATTTCTTTTGTTGAGGACAGAATAATAGGGGAATTCTTGAACCTTATCTGGATTTACTTTTATGCTTTTCAAACACGTTCAAATCTATACACACACATTTATTGAGAATCCTAAGTTCTTCAACCTTTTACTCTTAACACTGAGAGTATAATTTACAACTCACATTTTGAGAAGACACCAAGGTACCAACCCTGCGTTGCAGCAATGCCAGCATGTAACCAAAGAAGCCAGCTGCTACAAGCACTACAATTCCTGCAGTGAAATTTGACATGTCTCGTAAATCTGCGAGTGACAAATATAAATAATTTAAAATTGGACAAGATGATTTACCAAGAGGGAAATCGCTTCCGTATTGATAAGCACAGTCCTCAAAATGGAGTTGGATCTCCCGGATCGCCTGGTTTCCTCTGTCTATGACAAGGAGGGAACAACTGCTTCCGCTATAAACCACATCAAAATCATTTGAAAATTTTGCATCTCCACTCGGTCCATCTACATGCCCCTTTCCATGGCCCCATTTGCCTCCTGCAATTGTTGTAACCCCTGCATGGGGAGAAAAAAGCCAATCATTTCAGCAATGGAGAACTACTCTTCCTGGAATTTCAATTTCAAAACATATATCACAACTATCCTTGCAACAGAAACAATCCTATAGAAATGAAGCATGCCTATCATGCTCTAGAAAAGAAATATAGCAATGATAAAGGGGTAAGGTGGTCATAAAGTGTTAATTGGTCAGAAATATGAAAGACAATCAAGATTTTGCTAAAGTTGTTAACAGTTTTAATATACATAAACATGAAGAAGAGTACCAAAATAATATGATTATCTTGACATAATTTCATAACACAAAGGAGAACAAGAATCTTCTAGCTGTGGGAATGCCCAAGACAAAACTCAACTTGCATTTACCTGCATCAGATATCTTCCTGATTGCCATGTTCACGGTGTCTGCAACATAGATGTTTCCTTTGTCATCCACTGTGAGCCCCTTTGGATGGTTCATTCTCGCCTCTCTAGGTTTCCCATCTACATGTCCAGAGTATCCTTCGGCAGATCCAGCAACCAGCTTTGGTCTGCTGTCTGCATTTTTCCCATTATCTTTTGTCAATTTTCTACTCAGGTTAAAACACACAACAGACACACACATTCAGGAAAAAAAATTGAATAGGCCACAAAAATATATCAAAATGGAATGCAACAATAGAGGAACTTTTACTATATAATAGTTCTTTAGCGAACCTTATAAGCATGAGCTACACAAGGGATAAATCGAGCTTTACAGAAAAGATAAAATGCATTTCGAGTGGAAGGAGACATTCAACATCTCAGATGTCCATTTGTTCGACAATCATTTAGACAGGTAAATCATACTTCTAGTCAAGTATGTAAGAATTGGAGAAAGTTGCTCCATAACAAAAGAGAACAAATGATTTGAACTTTGTGCACTAATTCAAACTTAAAAGTAGTTGGCTTAAAAAAAAAAAAAAAAAAAAAAAAAAGCAATCCTTCATAAATTAATAAGAAAAAAGATTGGATGGGATCCTCAAAATTAAACAAAAGGTTGAATGTAGTTTGTTAAATGGAGGAATCTAACACAAGCAAAAGCAAACTTGAGACCTCCAAAGTGTACTACTTCATGATAATGAGATTAATTCACAAAAACTAAAGATCTAGACAAGACAGCATGAGGTTGTGAATTTGGACGAACGGAGTGAAATCTGGTTTATTTCTTACAACTGCTCACTAATTAGAAGAAAGAGAAAAAATGCAAAATGCACAATTGAGTCAAATACTTGAAGAAATTAGTAAATGAAAATCAACAATCAAGACCAACCCAGAAAAGTTCCGAACATTTGCAACAAAAATCTACTTACACTGAGACAAAGAGGAAGAGAATCTGTAGAGATTACTGTTAACAGAGTCCAGAACCAGAAGATCCCCACTAGGCAACACTTCGACAGAAAAGGGTTCAATCCCAAGCTTACTTCCATCAAACACTGTCTCTACGGTGTATCCACCCTCAAATTTCATCATCGGACGGCCAGTAATTGCTGAACATAAAAGATCATGTAAGCTCCACCATTCGAGATAACAATCTCCAACACCCATTCACACACACACAGCCAATGTCAGTTGTACCATCGTATCAGAGAGATCTATACCTGTTTTGGTGGTAGCTTTGAGTGACCACAGCCATTTCAGAAGAACAGAGAAAGCATTTGAGAGGAACCCATTAACAATTTCTGCATCAAATAATGTGTAGATGCAAAAACACAACAGTAATCACAGAGAGATTGAAGCCCAAAAGTAGATCAATTGAAGGGGCTACTACAAGCAAATATAAGTGTGTGTGTGTGTACTCACTTGCTGGGGAAGCAGCTGAAGCGGATGAGAAAGGTGCGAACAGAACCACTAGGGTGAGAATTAACACCAATCCATTGTTACCCATGACCCTCATTTTCTAGGGAAAGTGCGAGAAAAAGCTCAGAACTGAAAACTCAAGCTGTGCATTATACATGAAACCCTCTAGTTTGATATGGTAGGTGGACAAGTAGGGAATGTATGAAGGGTGGGTTAATGAAGAAGTGCTCTTATGGGGGTGTGTGTGTGTGTGTTTCAATCAAAAGCTAAAGAGTTTTTGGGAGTGTGGGAGTGAATGGGAGGATAGAAAAAGATGAAAAGAGACGGGAGAAAAGAAGGGAGCAAAAGCACGAGGGCCACCAAGGAACAGAATTTCTGAACAATGTGGTCATTAGAATCTATCACGTCAATTAAATACAGTAAACAAAAATTGTTTCATCATTATATTTTTAACTTGAAAAATATAATAAAACTTAAAAAATTTGAGTAATCCTTAGGTCCACATAGGATATGTTTTTATCATGTACGTAAATAAATTTAAGTACAGAACTCACTCATTAACATTAACGGACTAAATTTTTATTTTTGGTATCTTACAAATACCTAAGAATCATTTTTCCTAAAATTTTGTACCTGAGGTTTTTAATTTCTTATTGCATTAGATTTTGAGATATGCAAAAAGCAAATAAATTTAAAGTAAAATCTGTGTATTGAGAAGAGGGATAAGAAAAATCTATAGCCTTATTCTCTAGAAATAAAAGCTAAATCTACTTCATTTATGGTGTACCAATAATGTACCATGAATGATGCCTGATATTCAAGAGCGCGTGACCCGTTGGTGGAGTGATCAGAGATTTATTTATTTATTTTACAGGTAGCTTGCAATTAAAAATTGAATAAAACTGTTGGCATTGACATTTTAATATTTTTAAGGTTAAAGTACAAAAAATCTCCCTATAATATTGATATAGTACAAAAAAAAAAAAAAATCCTTGGGTAAACACCTATTTATTTTTAATTTGGTGTAAATAGTCATTGTCTATGTAAAAGACTATAATACCTTCTGCCAATAAATTGAAATAATATTAAAAATATAAAGGAAGGTAAAATAACAAATTTAGATAAGAACTCGTGTCTTTCAACCCTGATTGGTTAGGTGACTCAATAAAAAAAGGGTTAATTACAGTCAAACCCTCTAAGGTTTGTTCTATTAACGCTCAGATGAAAATTAGCTCAATTTTACACAATCACACCCTTCAATTTTGATAAAGTTCGCAAACACACCCCGATCATATGCCCATAGTGAATTGACATTGTTACCCTTTGACTTGTGAGTTGACCATGTTAAATAATTAAATTACCTTTTTTAACCTTTCTTGGACCAAAGTACCCATTCTCTCTATCCACCTGTGGTCACCATCTTCCTCTACCCCACCACCGCCAAGATCAATTACCCCTTCTCCATTATCTCTCCCCTCTCTCTTTTTCCCTTCTTGTAATACCCCTAATTTCAAAAGGGATAAAAATAGAATTTAAATTTTATTTTTGTGCATTTTAAATTGATTTTGTATCTATATTCTTATGTGTCCAATTGTTTGTTTATTTTAATTCATTATGTTATTTTTTTTAATTGTTTGTTTATTTTAATTAAGGGTGTAATTCTTTATTTGTTTGTTTATTTTAATTAATTGTTTTATTTATTTTATGTGTTTTAAGTGATTCGTTGCTTGCTTATTTGATTTAATTAATGGGTTTTATTAAATTAATTATTTATTAAGTATTTAATTTTTGAATAGGGTAATTATGTAATTCCCATTAACTGGGGTTTTAGATACGTTTTAGTTAGGATTTTTGGAGCCGTCTCATAAGCATCTGATATGTAACTAAACTGGGTTACTTTGTGGGCCGACGAAGTTAGGGCTCTGTGGATTAGGGTTTTAATCTTGCAATTATAAATACCTCAGTATATGTTAAACCTAGGGTTACATATTGTCGTAACTTTTACACGGAAAAGTCTACCAAATAGAGAGAGTTACAGAGGGAGTTTTGGTGAGAACAAAGCAGTTTGTGAGAATTTCGACTGGGGTTCCAAGGTTTAACCAAGGAGAAGGAAGGAGCAGAGGTTCTAGGAGGTTAGACAAGTTTCAGTGGATGTCGGAAAAAAAAACTGAGACCAACGGCAACAAGGGTTTGTTTGCAAACCTATTCAGGCAAGTTCTATCTTCCTCTTTCCCTTTGAGCCGTGTTCTGTGCACTTAGATATGCTCTAGGGTTTTAAGGAAATTAACAACTAAATCATTCATGTATGTTATACATCAAATTAATCATATGTATGCTTTGAATTATTTCTGTGATGATTTCTGCAATATCTGTTACAGTGCATGCAAGTTGGTCCAGTTTTATGTCCTTTAAGCATGAGGGTTCTTGTCGTAGTTTTGGTCTCTGTTTTTTTTATTGCAACTACTGTAAACTAAGTATGGAAAGACTACGGGAGTTATGTAAATCTCATAGGAAGGTTGCTATTTCTGTTTTAGATCTCTGTTGCATTTTGCTTCGTTGTAATCCATGCATGAGGTTTCAGTTTTTGCACAAGTTTACTTCTGTTCATTGATTTAAATTGCTATAATCAAACCTTGGGGATGCTATCAGGAGGGTGTTAGATCCTTTAGATCAGTTTAAGAAACAAGCAGAGGGGTAGGAATTGATCGGAGAAGGAGCAGATTGACGGAAACGGAGCAGGGATGAACTGGAGGCTCTCAAGAGGGAGAGAGCCGGCTCTAGGAAGTCAAGAGCCGGCTCCCCTTCAGCAAGAGCCGGCTCCTAGGGAATTGGAGCCGGCTCCAATAGGGGAAGAGCCGGCTCTTCCATTCCAAGAGCCGGCTCCAATTTGTTTTACGTCCAGAAAGTGTTTTCTAGGGCTCTGTTTGGTGTTTTGAGCATTGTTTGAGCTTCTGAGTGATTCTAATGAACTGTAGGGACTTAACAGAGGATCTAAGTAGTTAATTCTAAGTGTTATTAAACTTATTGTTGTATGGTTTAAGTCTCTAAGATAAAGGATGAAGCAGTGTAAAAATATACAACGGTGTATGCTACTAACAGAGAAAGGAACTAAATGGCTTGATTAAATTTTAGAAATTTAATGAGACTTCACGGAGGGATTAAATAGTTAATTTTTGGGTGTTATTAAGACCCTAAATTGATTTAAGGTTAATTCTAAATTAACGGATCAAACTGTATAACACTTATGTACATTGTATACGGTTAGTGGATAGAAGAAGTTTTAAATACTTAAGCTTATTTTTAGGCATTCCAGTGGGATTTAATATATTTATAAAATGGTTTTAAATATATTATAGGGTCATTGATGTGTTAGATGTGATCTATGCAGGCTCTGGATGTTAGTTGTTGATTTATTAAATCATCTCCTGCAACTATATGGTTAATTGTTTGGATTTAAATTGCTGAAACACTTAAAAATCTTCTGTAATTATTTAGATATTGGTTTTGGATTTTAAATTATTGTACTATTATTTATAGCCTGTAATTTACATGGTTTTGGATTTAAGTTATTGGAATACTAAATACTATTCTGCAACGATGTGGATGGTTGGTTTTGGACTATAAATTACGTGCTTATTATTTATGCCTTGTAATTTACCTGGAATTATGTATTGGAACATAATTGCTGAATTTTTATACTTAATTCGGTCAATTATTTGGAATCATATATTGGATTATAATTGCTGAATTCTTATATTAAATTTGACCAATTATTTGGAATTATGTATTGGATTTTAATTGCTGAATTCTCACATTAAAATTCTGTCAATTATCTGGGTTTGGTTTTGCATTGTAAATTACTTGCTTATCATTTGAATGTTGTAATTTACATGGATATGGAGGATGGTATGCACCGGTATGGGATGGTGGCATACTAGGTATGGTTTAGCTCAAAATGCTAATTCCTACCTTATGGATTTAATTGGTGAACAGTATGACTGGTTCTATCAATTATATGGACTTTGTGGATTGTATGCACCGGTATGGGACGGTGGCATACTAGGGACAGACTGATTTAAAATACTCAGTCCTACCTATTTTGGAATAAGGGAACGGGTTGTTAAATAAATCCTCCTTATATATATATAAGTCGGTACGGTTGAATACGCCGAATGACTTATTGGATTTCTTGTGAATGGTTAGGAACGGAGTTTAGATATATATGTTTATGGTACCACGAGTTGAGCTTGAGTCTCAAACTTGTTGGTTAGGGCGCGTATATGCAGTGGATGTGTAGCTGGTTATAGTAGGTTGGGTGTACCCTGTTAGGCCTAGGTACTCATGCCCACCTTTGGGTGCGTTTTCGCATGTTGCCTTCTGTGATACCCCTGGATTTCCGGATGCGGGTTGGCCAGGCCCACGCTCGACTACCCGAGGATATCAAACAAATTAGCAATAATCGAACACAGAATATAATTAAGATAAACATGAGTAAATGAAATTCGCTGGAAAGAAACTAAATGAAAATCCCTTATTGAAAACTTCAGAATAAATCTGATAAATAAGAACTAGTCTGTTACATCCTACTTCTCCATTTCTATTACAACTCGGGAATCCATCTAGTGGACCCCTAATATATCTCACTGAACTCAAAAGATTGGAAATGAAACCCAAGTCTAAAATATGAAATAAAACCCTGGTCATCGGCGGAGTGAATAACTGTATCTGCTCAGCACGATCCAGCTCCAAGTCTGGAACTAACAAACACCTGTAAAAATAAGAGTGGGTCAGACCCACATGCAAATTCTTCTCTAACTACAATCTAAACAGTGACTCGATACGCAGATACACCCTAGATATCTCAACAATAGCTATCTAGTCCATACATATAGATATATCCACACTAAGGGACATTCACTGGACTTCAGTAGGGGTCTCAACCTGAATAGAAGGCAACATACGAAAACGCACCCAAAGGTGGGCATGAGTACCTATACCTAACAGGGTACACCTCAACTACTATAGCCAGCTACGCATCCACTGCATATACGCACCCTAACCAACGAGTCTGAGACTCAAGCTCATCTCGTGGTACCATAAACATATATATAAAGTCCGTCCAGAACCAGGGTATGTAGTTCAAATATTTATTAAACTGACATACAATAAACCAGTTAGTTAGTCTCTCAACTTATTCAGTTGACATGACTTAACTATCATCCATTAATCCAGGAAGTCACCCAACTTGATTACAGCTGATCTGACTTAGTCACAATTAGGATTCGATATCTTTCAATCCATTCCATTAATCCATTAGGTTAGGTTTATGCGTTTTGAGCTAAACCGTCCCTAGTATGTCACCGTCCCATACC